AACTATTATAAAAATTAAGGATAAAATTAGTTACAATGTACAGTCAAACCTTTATATAACAATTCTGTATATAGCGGTCACCCTGTATATTACGGTCACCGGACAACAAAATAAAAAATAATTTTATTACATAGATATTGATGAAAAACCATGATTTTTCCTTTTACTAAATAATCATATCTTCATCGCGCGCAGTGAAGATACTATTTTTATCTTTCACGTGTGAGGATATTGATGTCGCCATGGTTACTAATATTAATTTTGACTTTTTGAAGAGAAAATATAAGTATTATTGTCTTTATTTCTCCTTTATAACTTCATATTTGAGTTTCATAACATTTCTGTGACAGGCATTTTGCGATAGGTGACCACTTTAATTGCACTATTTTGCTGTTTCGAAAATGAATAAAAAAAAAGGTTGTGTTTTATGTAGGAATTTCATCAGTATCTATAAAATAAACAGAACATTACATGGCCGCTTGAGGATACGAATTTTATTTTCTCGTGCCGGAGATACTTTCAGCACTCGAAGATAAAATTCGCATCCCTGCGCGGCTATTGAATATCCTCTATGTCATACATTTTCTGTAAAGTTGACCTCTATAAAAAGCGGTCACCTTTATCTAATAACGGACGCGGTCACCCTTAAGACTTCCCAAATGTACAATTTCATTATTTTTTACCTGTGTACAATGGTCACCAAATTTGATTACGGTTAAATCATTAGCAAACTTCGCAGTGTATGCGCCAACGTAGACGCGAAAATGGATGCTAGCGAAATTGTCAAATCAGTTAATCTTTCCAAGGCAATCGAATGGGGGAACTACAAGCGTTGTCCTCATTAAAGCCAGTTCCCCAGAGAAGCGAGAGAGAGACAGCGATATCGTTGAAGTTGACCTCGATGAATATAACGACGCTGAACTTCTGCTACTTATAGCTGTCAAGACAGTTGCTAGTAGAGGACATTTCTAGATCGCCGCGTTCTGGAGATTGAGTCCACATGGGACTCACATCACGGGAGACACTGTTCAGTGGAGGTAACTAAACGTCCTAGCTGAGAATAGCTTGTGGTGGAGCGGCCTACGTTGGTTGACTTCTTGATGATCAACGACAACTACCCAATGACTTAACAAAGTGTACCGAGAAGGAGAGAAAACACAAAAAGACAAAAACATTTGCGGCAATTGCCATAGAACCAGTGATTGATCCTTCCCGATACCAGAAATGGCCGACTCACATTCGAGTAACAGATTGTGCTGCAAGTAATAGGGAAATTCCACCCCACAGAAAGCTTAAGTTTGTATCTTCATTTGCGCTTCTCCACGCGTGACTCACTTAAGGCTCACAAGTGAGTTGTGAAACAACGTATTCCTTCAGGTCTTAATTCGTATGATCAGTAGAAAAGAGCTTCATAGCACCATTTGGTCAGACAATGCTCACACTTTCAAGTGTGCCGGCCGCGAGATTCAACAGCTGTGAGTGCCAGAGTCATCCACCAGTAAGCCACCGTGAGGTAAAATAGATCAGGAGGGGCTTCAGACAAAGTTCAACTTTACGGGAATCATATTAAAGTTAATTGTCGAGCACTCCTCTTGGAGAGATGGCTGATGAGAAAGTCTGGCATCCTCTTGAAGAGACTTCTTTTTAAACACTCCGGCAAAACCTTGTTATCACATCAAAAGTTAGACAAATTCCTTACCAGAATTGAAGATGTTATTAACTCGAGGCCGCTCACGACAGTAAGTGATAATTTCAGAGATTAAACGCCCAAAACACCAGCTCGTTTTGTATTTGAATTTTCACTGTTTAACTTACGCAACATTCCAGACAGAGTTTTAGCGAGCGAAGGAACAAGGAGGCAGCGCTATCTGTATCCGTAGAAGGTTGTCAACCACTTCCAGAAGCGCCAGACAGTCAGGTTCCTTCATNATAACGACGCTGAACTTCTGCTACTTATAGCTGTCAAGACAGTTGCTAGTAGAGGACATTTCTAGATCGCCGCGTTCTGGAGATTGAGTCCACATGGGACTCACATCACGGGAGACACTGTTCAGTGGAGGTAACTAAACGTCCTAGCTGAGAATAGCTTGTGGTGGAGCGGCCTACGTTGGTTGACTTCTTGATGATCAACGACAACTACCCAATGACTTAACAAAGTGTACCGAGAAGGAGAGAAAACACAAAAAGACAAAAACATTTGCGGCAATTGCCATAGAACCAGTGATTGATCCTTCCCGATACCAGAAATGGCCGACTCCCATTCGAGTAACAGATTGTGCTGCAAGTAATAGGGAAATTCCACCCCACAGAAAGCTTAAGTTTGTATCTTCATTTGCGCTTCTCCACGCGTGACTCACTTAAGGCTCACAAGTGAGTTGTGAAACAACGTATTCCTTCAGGTCTTAATTCGTATGATCAGTAGAAAAGAGCTTCATAGCACCATTTGGTCAGACAATGCTCACACTTTCAAGTGTGCCGGCCGCGAGATTCAACAGCTGTGAGTGCCAGAGTCATCCACCAGTAAGCCACCGTGAGGTAAAATAGATCAGGAGGGGCTTCAGACAAAGTTCAACTTTACGGGAATCATATTAAAGTTAATTGTCGAGCACTCCTCCTGGAGAGATGGCTGATGAGAAAGTCTGGCATCCTCTTGAAGAGACTTCTTTTTAAACACTCCGGCAAAACCTTGTTATCACATCAAAAGTTAGACAAATTCCTTACCAGAATTGAAGATGTTATTAACTCGAGGCCGCTCACGACAGTAAGTGATAATTTCAGAGATTAAACGCCCAAAACACCAGCTCGTTTTGTATTTGAATTTTCACTGTTTAACTTACGCAACATTCCAGACAGAGTTTTAGCGAGCGAAGGAACAAGGAGGCAGCGCTATCTGTATCCGTAGAAGGTTGTCAACCACTTCCAGAAGCGCCAGACAGTCAGGTTCCTTCATTGCCCAACACTTCAGCTGGTTTTGTTGAAAGTTATCAACTAATAGTGATTACAATGTTAATGCTGCCTTCCTTTTAACGAATTAAGACAGAATGCATCTGGAAATTGAGTAATTTTAATTTGCAGTGGACAAAAATCTTGTACCAGAATATTTTTAGCCACATCACATTCTTTTTTACACTTTTCAGGAGCTATAAATGTAATAAGTTATGAAATATCTCCAAAGAAAAGGTTTCTATGGGAGCCCGAAAAAATAAATTTCAAATTTTACAGGAATTGAGAAAACACTGGTAAAATCGTCATGCGTAAGATTTCATTTTGTGAAATTTAAGGCTTTTGAAGTTTGTTTTTTCGGGCTTTCATTAGAACCTTTTCTTCGGGGACACCTTCGGGACCTTCCCAAGTGTCCGCTTAATAGAGGTTTGTAAAATTTGCGCAATGTTTGTTAACGATTAACATTCAACGGTTACTCTGTACTGTGATAAAGTTCCATGTTGTGCTGTACTTTGTGCACGACTTTTAGGAGAACTTTAATTAGCCAAATACAGTTTATTTTAGTGTCCGTGTCTGCTTAATAGAGGTGTCCGATGAATAGGGGTTCGTTTTAAAGGGGAATATGAGACGTTAATTTCGGGACACGACTTCGTGTCCGCTTGACAGGGGTTTCACTACATCTCATAAATCTTATTACATTTATAGCCTTCGAAAAGTGTAAAAAAGAATGCAATATGATTGAAATTATTCTTATACAAGGTTTTTGTCAACTGAAAATAAAAATTACTCAATGATATGATGGACTCCATCTTAAAACATTAAGGGTAATTTTCCACTGGCTGAGTGTAACGAATGAAGTGGAAAATGTTTTTCTCACACACCGCTGGGAGTCTGGGTATAGGTCATGTGACTGAAGGGTAGGCAGTTGCTTTTGTTGCGTCCGCCATTACTGACCTTCCCACCCACCCACCCTAAGGTTTCAGTTTTGTATGCTGTTAAATGTACGGTGCAACTTTGTAGTTTTGTAAGCGTCCTACCTTTCTAAGGTTATGATATGTATGCATTTTTTGAGTTTAAAATAAAGGTCAGGCTGCGGCGGTCGGCTTGGCATGGCTATAAGTGGTGTGTGAGAAAAGCAGTTCACACTGCAAAAGTATCAACTTACAGAAATTTACAAAGTCACCAAGTAATTATACCTTACCTTAAATATCAGCGCATGACCAGTTGGCGTCAAAAAATCCAAATCGTATCTTACTACATCGAGATCTATATATTCTTCAGGATTTTTGTCCACGACATGTCTTTCCAAGATCTTTTCGTCAAATTCCACCCCACCCTTCAACGCAGTCGTCCAACAATTTTCTCCAGCTGACGAAACAAATTTTCTCGTTGCTTCGTTAATATTCCACCTTCCCTCATCAGCCTCATCTATGAAAAAAGGATCCCGGCTTTTACAACAAATAGCAACAAGACGCGAAACTGTTATTGTTCGTGGCACAACGTACGTACCTTCGACATTGTGTGCCTGTTTGTCAGTTTTAAAAACTCCACTAGTACGACTCAATTTTTCGCTGTTATTATTATTATCATCATCGTCATTTTATAGAGAAGTAGAGGGAACTGGAAAGAAATTTAATTACAACTTCCTATTCAGACTGAAATATAGAGCATTTTTCTCCACAAAATTACCTCTACTGCCCTAACGGGTTCAACAGGATTTAACAAAAATCTTATTGATATTTTACACTACATGGCAAGTGGAGAAAGTATCCTTTGTAAATGTATCTAGAGTAACGATGCCCAAATTTCAGACATCCCTTCGAGTCACATACTCCCGAAGGGTACGTCTGAATCAACAAGCTATTAATGCCGTCTGGTAACGTAACTACCCGAAAACCGGGGAAGTGGTTTTGATTGGTTGATTGTCCAAACATTCGTATAATTATTTATAAGTATGAGAAATTATCTAAGTTGAGTTAATCAGGTTTGACATAAAGTAATATTTTGCCGGCACAGTACGGAGGACTGGGTCGAGTGCTGCGCGCGAGGTATCGGCCATGGACGAAGCACAAGTTTCTAGTACAATCACTGCCAGCAACATGGATCTTATGTCTCAAAGCAAAGCTCTTGTTTCAGAGTCAATTTCAGATCTTAAGCGTGCTAACGAAGCTTCGGTTTTTCAACAGATGGCTGAAATAAAAAGGTTTAAGGGTGATCCTGTCCCTCAGGTTACAAGAAGAGTAACGAGGACAAATATATAGCCAACAAAGCTGTAGAGGACGCTCAGGCTTCTTTGGAAAAAAGAGATCTCAAAAAAACGAAGGAAGCATGGGACAAAGGTATGGCTCTTATTTTGCTAGCTGACAAGTCACCGTTTGGCTGGAAGACTGTACTAGAGTATAAGCACCACGACCTAGCCGACGATGAAGAAGACGAGAAGAAGATTTATAATTTATAGAGCGGAATCGAGGGCAGGAAAATTAGTTAAGCTATCCGCTTGACGTTCAGTTCAGCAACAACGAAGATTTGTTCCCGCTGTTCAAGCGAAGTCTCCCCAGCTCGCGACTTCCCAGTTGCCGAATGGTTTCTCGCGTGTCAATCAACAGCAATTCCCCCAAAGATCTGCTTCTGGTGTTTGTTTTGAGTGTGGCAAACCTGGCCATTGGAGAGCATCGTGTCCGGTATTGCAGCAGACGAATGCATGCAGTCTTCCAAGTGATTCTCTGACTTTGAGCCTGACGAGGATTTCGACTTTTAACTAATGGATAAGTATTAAGGAATCTTGCGGGCATCGCAAATATAGCTCGGGCTAAGAATACGTTTCAGTGAAAGGAAGGTTGCGTCAGGCAATCGATTTTTGGAGAGAAATTTCGGGCGCCTCAGTATATTCCTGATGTGATGGAGTTTGGCTATAAAGTTCAAGTTCCACTTCTTCAAATCCCAACGCCTTTTTCAGCTAGGAACAATTCATCTGATTTGGTTTATTCCGTTTTTGTTGAGAATGCCATTATCGACTTCATTAAGCAAGGTTGTGTTGTTGAAGTTTCGAGGAGCCTATTGTCATTTACCCTTTCATGTGTCTATTCAGAAATCTGGCGAAAAGCGCCTTATTATGACCTTCGTCACGTTTACAGATTCCTTTACAAGAAAAACTTTAGTTGTGAGGACAAGCGTTGCCAAAACAATTTTGCGTCCAACTGATTATATACATTACACACATTTTTTATCATTATGAGTAAGATGGTTTAATAGTTGCTTTAGTTTTAATTTTTTTCTTTTTTACTCATTGTAAATATAATAGGATATGGTTGTAAATTTGTAAATATTTTTCAATAATGTTGTTTACATGACTGTAAAGCGCCTTGAACATAGGATAAGAGCGCTATAGAAATAAAGTTATTATTGTTATTATTATTATTATTATGCTCTCTTTCGATTTAAAGTCAGGCTATCATCACGTTGGTATTTTTCCTGATCATCAAAAACAGCTCTCTTTTTCGTGGGGTCGGACCAGAGTTTTCCAGTTTGCAGTGCTTCCCTTTGGTCTCAGCTGAGCACCGTATTTGTTTACTAGACTGTTTAACCCTCTAATTAAGAAATGGCGATCGGAAGCCAAAGGGATCGTTGTTTATTTACACGACGGCCTCGGGTTCCAGGGTTCCGGCCTTACAGAGCTTGGCATTAGATATTTTTCAGAGCTGCTTGCTGAATGGCGTCAGTATTGATATTTAGTGGATTACGCCAGAGATCTCATAGTGCTGCCGATCACATAAGCAAGTTTTCCAATCATGATGACTACGCTATCAACGACATAGTTTTCAATGCCCTGGACGACCTGTGGGGTCCGCATACCTGCGATGGGTTCGCTTGCCCTTTTAACGCAAAAGTTCAGTGCTTCAATTCCAGATTTTGTTAACCCGGTTTGAGCGGCGTCAAGGCATTTTCCCACGATTGGCGTCAAAATAACAGCTGGCTGTTTCCCCCGGTTTACCTAGGCTGTAAGGTTATCAAGCACATGAAGCTTTGGCGTGCCAAGGGATCTCCCATCGTTACAGTTTGGAAGTCGGCCCATTTCTGGCCACTGATTTGTTCTCATGGGGTCCCCTAGAGTAACTTCATGATTGGGTTACTCTGACTAATTTCACGAATTTATTCATTGCATGTAAAGCCTTCATTTCTATTTTTGGGTGTATGCCTCTGTCGTTTCTTTCAGTGGCTCTGTGTATAGACGTTAGCATTCCTTTTAGTGTAGGTTTCGAGTCTTCGCAGGTCACCTTTATCGTTCCTGGAGAGTTTTGGGCCAGTTCAGCTATTTTTTTCTATGACTTTATTTTTTGTTGATTTATTCAAGCGAGTATATTTTTCCTGGTTTACAGCCTTTTTTTTCCTTGAGGGGACCTTGTTCACTGGGGTATTTACGTTATCTCATGCTATTTGTTAATGGTCATACGTTGCCCTAGATGGGCGCCCTCGATGGGTTTGTTATTAGGCCCTTGATGGGCAAAATATATGCTTGATGAAGCTGTTGGAATTGCCTGGCTTTTTTAACATTGTTTGTGACTGTGGAGATTGGTTTATTTATCCTAGCTGCGTTCTATTTGCTTTTCGTCGCCCCTGTTGGGCTGAATGTTATCACGGTAGAGTTTTGCCTAACTATTTTCCGCGTAGGGGTAAGGCCTGTTCGTCGGGGGATCCCGTTTAGTTCTTCTAATGAGCGTTTTATGGACCTTTTTTGTTCTACGTACTGTTCCCCATTTTTTGTGAAATGTTCCTTCGTGTTATGGAGTTGATGCTGTCGACTTCTTTTCGTCTGATCACCTGTTCCTCCCTTTTTATCCTTAGATACCTTCTCCTCCGCTTTTTGGTCTTCAGAAAGCTCCGACGATTCCCAAGTCATCAAGCTGAAGGAGGGACTTACGCTTACGGTCCTCACTTCAAAGGCGTCTGGGACATCGGGAAACTACCTAAGGGCCTTCAACAGATGGAGGAAGTTGTGTTATTGGGCGTCCCTGATTCTCCTGTCCGCCCTTTGGACGGCGCCCTCTACTTGCATTTTCTTCTAGAGTCATCTAACTCAGTGTCTGCCATTTATTGCGCGTTTTACGCTTTCAAGTGCGTGCATAAGGTCTCGGGCTTAGAATCTCCTACCCTTCGTCCCACCATTATTGCTGCGAAGAAGGGAGCTCTTCGCTTTGTTAGTCAGTCATTATCTCATAGGAAGGGAACT